CGCACGCACGCACGCACGCACGCACGCACGCACGCACGCACGCACGCAACGCGCACACACACACACACATACACAAATGTACAAACACATACAGCACATCAAATTACAAAGTGTTGCGTTTCGAAAATTCCGTGACAATTTACAGGTCGTCTAAGCGCGAAAGTTATTACGATTAATATTGATAGTAATGATTGTCCGCTCACCGTACAAATGCAACTCCTCTCGGCAAGCCGGTGAGCTTATCCTTCAGTATATTTTTCTGCACAATATTGCCATATTTGCTGAAAATCTCGTCGATCTGACTTTCTGTTATATTCCTGTAAAAGAAAAAACGAACAATGCTCTTCAATACGATGTTTGCCATATCGATTCAATGAGAATTCTATAAGGATCGTCATCTACCTTGGTAAGTTCGTAACATAAAGATTAGTTTCCTTGATCTCTTCTCCGGAGGGCCGCGCAAACGACACCTTCAAACGCTTATTTTGCACTTGCAGCCCGTTCAGTGTGCTTATCGCCGTTGCAGCATCCTCGGCTTTCGTGTAGTTTACAAAGCCAAAGCCATAACTGTAACCAGTCTACACATACAAACGTAAGATTAGTACTGATACAAATGAGCTGCACACACATGTATCGCATCGAGTGCGTATCGAAAATTGAACAGCAAGCGCGCGTAATTTTACCTTATAGTCCTTCATGACTCGGCAGGATTCGACCGGGCCGATAGTCACGAACAGACTATATAGTTCCTTCTCATTCATATTTTGTGGAAGATAATTAATAATCAAATTCGTCCTCGGTTCCTCATTGCCGCCTTTCGTTTGTTGCTGTTGCTGCTGAGGCTGCGGCTGTTGCTGCTGTTGCTCTCGCTGATCGGTCATTTTGTCTCCGCACTGTTGTGAGTCACCCGACGCTAACGACGCCTGACTCGAGACAGCAATCCGATGACGATTCTGCTGCTGTTGAGGTTGCTGCACGACCAACGAGTCTGCCACCAGTAGATGAACTTGTTGCGATTGTTGCTGTACACTCCAACTGGTACATTCCAACGGAACCATCGACGGGGTCGGCAAATACAAAAAATATAAACAAATTCATTACTACGTCTTCCCCGTGCAATACGACGCTCGTAGGCCAGCCTGCACTTTCGAATGCTTTCATCATCTTTTCTTTAAGCGGTTTCAAAATAAATAGAAAATAAATGTGCATATTTTTATGTATGATGCCAGACCTGTGTGTGAGAAACAAACAAACAAAGGCAAGTAAGGACAAAACAGAACCAGAGAGAGAGAAAAGAGAATGGACAGAAATTAAACAACAAATAATATATCAAGCAAAATGCATCTGATAAATCATAAAATACTCATAAAGTCCCTGACACACGATGAAACAAATTCCTACAAATTCCTACAATCACAACGGTTATCGAAATTTGATTTTTTAGCGCTTCGCGCATACGTTGGAGATTCGATATTTCTTCGAACGCATCGCGCGATCGCCGAGAGTTACGAAAGGTCGAGTTCACACAGTAAACAATAACAATATCGAAGAACGTACGGGGAATAATGCGAGCGTATAACATCGTGTTGCGAATACTCGTTGGCAGTGCCGTGCAATGACACCGAGAAATATCGAATTTCATTGAACGTCGCTGCGAGAATTCATACTCGTCTGCTCGACATCGACGCAACCGCCAGAGTTACGCGCTCAGTTCATTCACACGAGGTTCGAAGCAAACGCTGAAGGGACGAAAAAAATGCTCATGTACTCGCCGATGTTTACGACTCGATCGTCACCGTGTTTAAATGATGCCGAGCGGAGTCGTTCGAACTACTTCGTCGTCGGCAGTAAAAGCAACGAGAAAGAGAGAGAAGGAAAGGGAAGAGGAAAGAGAGAGACAGAGAGAGAGAGACACAGAGAGACAAAGAGAGGAGAGGCAGGGAGAGGTAATAAAAACAAAACTGGAACGGGCGAAGTGTAAAAGGATACGAAAAAGAGGAGATGAAATTTTGCAAGTCGCGAGCAACGTAACCTTTTGACCTTATTTTGAACAGGCTCGGGGACCTGAGTGGCCCGGCGGATTCGTGAATCGACCAAGTTGTGAGAGTGTGGAGCAAAATGGAGAGATACATATATATACGCGCGCGCGCGCACACACACACACACACACATATAACGCTTAGCGCGAGGGAGCGGGAACGACGTCGGATAGAAGAGACGGAAGATGCCGAGACAGAGATGGGGAAAGGAGAGCCGTGCGTGCAGCGTGCGTGTGTATACTAGGCTATTTCGCGTATATTCGGTATACGTACCAAGAGATATATAAGAGCACGCAGGAGACTATGCTCGACGAGCAGCGCGAGCGCACGACGATTCGCCGCAGTCGCCGTGGGACGCACTACTCGTTCGTTCGTTCGTTCGCTCGCGTCGCGCGCGCCACACGTCACGCGCCGCTTAATGCACACCGACGGCCACGGGTAATTATGTAAGCACGCGTACTGTCAGCATCGCACGTCGCCTCGCGTTACCAGCAAGCCACCTACACGACGATCGCACTCGCGTGTACTGCGGCGTGTACTCCGCTGAATTCTCGCGGCACGAATATTTCTCGCACGCTGCTCCGTCGTTTTCTCTCTCTCTCTCTGTCTCTGTTTCTCTCTCGCAACGGCGACAGCGCAACACACGATTTGTTCAACGGTGCGCACAGAGCGAACGACTGCGATGCGGCGACGATGCAGCACCGCGTAGGAGCAACGACGGTGGTAACGGCAGAACGCGCGCGCGCCTGTATATATGCTCTATGTATATGCACGATGCACTCACGCGCGTGTGTATGTGCGTGTTGGGTGTCTGGTTTGCTATATGCGCGGGGACGAGCCAAAGAGGAGAAAGAGGACGCGCAACGATAAAGCCGCACACTGCACGCGCGAACACACTGACTGAGCCCAGCCCTGACCTGCCTCGCGCGACACCCTCTCGCAGCGGCCCGCTACCCCACTACGCGGCCCGTGAACGGCCGCAGCTGCTGCGCCGCGTAATGGATCATGGTGTGCGCGACATCGCGCGACATAGGGCGCAGGTCCGACCGAAACCTCGCGCCGCATCGTGTTTACGCGATATCTCGAGGAACGAGCGCGCTTGCCAACTTTTTTCCTGCGTTATTTTTCTTTCTCTACAGTCGCGAGACCAACGAAAGAAAGAAAGAAAGAGAGAGAGGGAGGAGGGAGAAAGAGATGATGGACGCACGCGCGCATTACGGTGATTAGGAATGGGTAATGTTGCGGAGGAAGAAGAGCGGTCGATGTGCAAGTAATCGAATTAGACTGTGCAAAGAATATATCGATTGATCTCGTGGCTTTACGATCGTGTTCCAGAACGATGAGAATCGTTCAGTCATCGCGAAATTAGATGCAAGTCGACAAAGACCGTTCCGGTTTAACCGCCGGCACAATGAGATGTGTCTGAACAAGTTCAGACCAGTGATTTTTGGAAGTTGCCTTGGAACCTGCTAAGGCCTTATTCATTCACACCCCATTAGAATAGTGTTGGGGAAAACTCGTAGGATTATCTGGAACCAATATTGAGAGAGAGATAGATAGATAGAGATAGAGAGAGATAGAGATAGGTAGAGAGAGATAGAGATAGAGAGGCAAGTCGACAAAGAAACGATTGTACACACGTCGGCGTTGCAATAATGGGTAAGATTATGGAACGTATTATTAGGACGTATTACGGATTTCTCCGGAAAACTCGGGACGGTATATAGCTTCGTGTTGAGATTTAGAGCATACATGTGTATAACATGTGATTTAGAACATATATGTTGAGACTTAGAGCATAGAAAAACGTAAGTAGTAAGATTTATAAATCCTCATTCTATGAGCTTTTTTCTACTGATAAGATGCCTCTCTAAGTGGGATTAGAATCTAATCAGAAACCTTATAAGCCACATTTATCGAGATAAATGAAAAAGAAATATTTATCGATAAAAAGAGTTCAAAATAAGAGTCTCAAGAAACCTGACCAATCACAATTGATTATTTCTGAAACATAAGTTGAATCACCGACTATGGTTGGTCGATTTGCTGCTCAAGTTTTACTGCTTTAGTTTTCCTGTGCGCTCTCGACCTTATGCAGATTTGTGTACAGTCGGCTGATTACGGATTGCAACACTTTTCCGCGATGAATTTCACAGCGTATCCTGTATCCAATAGGAAAACGTATTTCTTAAAAATTGCTATTAGAGGACTATAAAATACGTTATAAAACTCATCGAGAAGTTGCAACTTTTAACTAGCCGACTATACACAGACCGACACAATAACTGGGTTATTATGATTTTTTTATCGTAATTATTGATTTCTTACTTCTTCTTATCCAGAGATGCAAGAACTATGTGTAAAAGCAAAATCTATATTGTGATAACTTTGTTTTTTCCAACCCCTTGGTAATAACTAACAATTAAATCATATGCCCGTCTAATTTAAAGGAAAAACAAATATAGATATACACTGAGTAAAAAAGCAATTGGATCAACAAAATCGACGGTCACCGCCGATCAAAGGAATATTGTATCTGTTTAACACATACGCATTAGTACAACGATAAGTTACGTTGAAATCACTATATCTGCATTATAATAATATCAATGCAACTTCATTGTTACACTAACGTGTATTTTGTTTAATAGATGCAATATTTCTTTGATGATCAGTAACTGCCGATTTTGTCGATCCAACCGCTTTTTCTCAGTGTACATATGATTTAATTGTTAGCTAACTTATTGTTAGTTAGTTAACTATTAGTTAAAAAGTTGGAAAAATCGCCGCTACGTCCAGAAACAAATGCGTACGATTAAAAAGTACTAGTAAGTAAATGAAAATAGAAATGGCAAATATTAATAACCCAAGTGTATCGCGTATTGAAGCTATAAGTCGGTGTGTGTGCGTAACCATAGAGGAAAATCTGATGTGCGTTTTTTCAACTCTCGTGCGCGAATCGCCTATCCATTTATTATCGTGCACGGAGAAAATTTTATAGCAAAAACAACTATATATAGGACTTTGTAAGCGAAAAGTAGATCGACATTAATTGCATTCAACAGTAATTAACTATCCTTACGTTTTATATGGGCTGTTTTAAGAAATATACTATTGGAACATTTGCTATGTTTCTAGCGAAATCTGCTGCATTTCCAACAAAATCTACTATGCGTCTTAGTAAGATAGACCTTACTAATAATCTATTTTCCCGATTTACTAAAAACAGAAAAAAAATTAAAAAAAAAACTATAATATTCCGCTCGTCAAGCAATTTGCAGATAAAGCCGATCTCGAGATATTCACAGCTTCGATAACGAGCCCCTACAACGTACATCACTTCCGACGGTGTTACGAGATGGACGTTATGAGCATTAATGCGGCAATATATCGGCCACTCGAACAAAATCGCGAGACACGCGACATGCAAACACGCGCAGCACTTTTGTGCAAGTTCTCGGGCGAAAAAGATCGATCGACCGCCGTGAGCTCGAGCACCGTAATTGGAGGTCGGGAAACGTGGATTCACGATGTGTGCGAATCGACTGTACGGGCCTGTATAGTGCAGATCGGGGAGATAAAGCGCTAATAATTCGCACGTGTTTCATAAAAGCGAGCCAAGAATACGATACGTTTATCCTTGCGACACTTCGGGAAATGGACGAATGTCAAAAATAAATTTGCCATGTAAAATAGACGCGCCGTCGGGCCAGGTGAGCTTTTAACTAGCGCGCTCGGGTTTCTCCCGGCGGAAATTCGCCCTGCTATTTACCTCACCACTGAATCTCGTGCGTAATTTACACACAAAATCGCTCAACTTTCCCCACTTCTCAGCAAGAGTCTGTCCAAAAATGTACCTCGAAGTAGCTTCCCAGGAGGGGACCGCGAACATCGCAAGATCACTCCTTCCCGTCGTCCCTTCAGCGAGAACTCTTGGATAACGAGAATGACGAAGTAAATGCACGATTCTTATTGCTAGCGAGCGGGCTGTTACGCGAAAAACCGTGACGCGTTTCACGATAGTCGTTTCTTGTCGCCTTGCGTATTTTGTTTCGCAGCAAGGTCGTTCTGCACGCCTCTACGATCATCGTCTCTGTCGGCGACGTCCGAACGGACAATAAGTAATAATAAACAATTCTTACATTCTTAGCGCGATTGGATGTATGTCGTGTCACTTTGCGCATTTCTAATTCACTGATGACGGATTCTCCGCTCAATTTCGGGTGAATCTCTCCAAAATTACGGCAAAAATACTGATACCCGGACATGCACTTAATCCTCAACATTCTCATCATTCTGCTCTTCAATCCTGAATACTTAAACTTGCAACATAGAATATGTATTCAGCATACGCATACATATTCTATGTTGAAAGTTGGAATGTTCGTTAAAGACCAAACAATAATAAGAATGTCCAGGCATTGCTTAGACTTTTGCCTCACATTTGCCACTGAATGTCAGACGGTTTCTTTTAACAGAACTTTGATTCGACCAGTACCGAGATATATGCCGCGCGTGAAGGAAAATTGAGTATTGATATCTGGGTAACGCGATATTGCGCTAAAGCAGCAATAACACGAAGGCACATCTAAGGACAACTTACCACACTTGGACGAGATGTCTTCATGCGCTGTTTCACACTTCGATTTCAGACGCATTTATGCGCCTCGAACTATCGCGGCACACAATATTAACCGCATTGATGCCACAACAAAGATGTTCGCGGACGTTCCCGTAGTCATCTCTCGATTGGCAATGCGACACATTTCACAGCGGCAGTCGAGTCGAGTCGCCGCGTCGCGTCGTGTAGAGATGCAATGTGATACGATGCACAATTACACGTACATAGAGCACATACATGCAATCACCGTGCTGCATGACCTATTTGATCGTGAGCGATTACGTCACAAAATGATGACTATATGCGTATAAATTGATGCACTAATTGCAGCCAGATCCCTTTCCATCGTTATTACGGGACTACAACGAAGATTCTTTTTTGTTTTATTCCGTAGTAATACCTCGGAAGGTTATACTTCGAGATAGAAAATTGCGTTTGAGCACTAAATTGCGCAAAAATGCGATATACCGCAATCAGGTTAGCTTGCACTTTTCTACACTCAATCTATAGGTTTGTTCGAGTTGCTTGTACTAGGTTGCATTAGGTATAAAACCTAAGGTTTGTTCAAGTTGCTTGTACTTTTCAAACTTGGTAATTATTTAGTTTAGCGGCCTCATCTCCGATTTCGATGAAAATAGATTCATCGACGCGTTTTTGCATGTCAAATAACTTTTTCCTCTGACAAAATCGTCGCTTTCTACTGCGAAGCGAGATATTAATAGACAAAGTTGAGGGCGCGTTAGGTTAGAAAATCTGTTACATAGACCGGTATTCATAGTCCGATCTTATATTTAAGATCATCTTAAGTACTGTCTTAAGATGTCATGAACCAATCATAGAGCCATATTCGTATCTTAAGACATTACTTAAGACGGTCTTGAAATAAGATTCGAATATATATACCGGCCATAGACGTAAAGTACTGACACGAATATGCTCTGTGGCCATGTGCGCATGCTCTGTAGCCACATGCGCATGCGTTTTTTTAGTTGTCGCTAGTAAAGCTCGAAATTTAAAGTGCAAAAAACATGAAAATGAAGATAATAAGTTATTATGCATGTTATGTACGCACGCACGTATGCACGATGTTAAATTTATTTGACTTTGTATGTTTAATTAACGACTGTGACAAATTAATAGACTTTTTAATACAACACGGTGTTATTATTATTCAGTCATACCGTCTATCTCTAGTTATGTAACTGGGGGGCTTCGCCCCCCAGACCTCCATAACACGGTGGGGTGGGAGCTACAGTTTTTTTTGTGAGAAATTCACTCTTTAGCTTAAGAGACTATAGCCCCCACCCCCCGTGATAAAGGGATCTGGGGGGCGAAGCCCCCCAGTTACATAGCTAGAGATGGTATGACAGATTTTCTAACCTAACACGCCCTCAACTTTGTCTATTAATATCTCACTTCGCAGTAGAGAGCGATGATTTTGTCAGAGGAAAAAGTTATTTGGCACGCAAAAACGCGTCGATTGAGTCTATTTTCATCGAAATCGGAGATGAAGCCGCTAAACTAAATAATTACCTCACACTTTTACACCTAATGCCCGTTGCACACTAGTGCACTCCAAACAACACAAATTTTCAAAAATACATTCTGAAGACGTTTTCAGAACGGAGGGACGTCATCAGAATATTCTTAGGACGTCCTTTAAAAGTGTGAATTGTATGAAAATAGCTAATATCCAATAAGTTTATTTACATTAATTGAATTTTTTACACTTTCACACTTGTGCACTTTAATTCTTTAAGCCCATTCTACAATTGCGTAAGCGTAGTCGTGAACGTAAGAGTCAACCAATCCGAATGTTTTATTCACTGATTGCTTTACTCTGATTGGTTGTCGTAATCACTTACAACTACTTACACCGCGTTCACGCAATTGTAGAATAGGCTTTAGAGGTTCTAAAAATGGCGTCATGTTTTCCGTTCGTGTTACGAGTAGTGAACAAACCTTAGGTTTGTTCGAGTTGCTTGTACTTTATTACTATGATTGGTCCATTGAAAGTCGGCAGTCATATGGCTCTCGCAGTGCGATGCGCGACGCGACGATATGCGACGAGCGATATCCAATGAGCGTATTGGTATTCCGAAAAAGCTGTACGCTTATTGGATATCGCGCATCGCATATCGCGTGTCGCGTCGCAAATTGCGTTGGCTGCGAGAGCCAGTAGTCGGCAGTCGGGTCGACCTGTGCAGTCGGTAGTCTGATACGGGCTTAATAGACCCTCATTTCGACGTCTTATCGATGTCTAATAGACCGTCATTTTGACGTCGATCAACACATTTACTCGAGTGTAAATGCAATTCTGATACACTTTTCACTCTTGCTTGGGATCAAGTGTAAAAAGTATATCAAACTTGCAATTACACTCGTAACACGAACGGAACTCATGA